CCCGGGTTTGAACCGGGGACCTCTCGATCTGCAGTCGAATGCTCTACCACTGAGCTATATCCCCTACGTACATATTAAGGAGGAATTTCAGGATACAATTTTACAAACCTGGACGTTTTGATTGAAAAATTAAATTTTGTAATATTCAAGATTTTCAATTTTTTTGTGAGAAAAGAATATGATGGCAAAGATTATCGATATAGGTAACATATTAACATTAACAAACATTTCAATGAATATACAACGAATGCGTAAAAATTTTAATAAATACTGATTCAAGAAATTTATCATTTTACTGAAAGAACTACGAGAACAAATTAGTTTCAACAAATTAAGTTGTTTTTATCAATGAATTTTATTAAAATGTCATTGTTGGCATTTAGTAATATTGGAAAGTGTTATAAACTGAACAATTCAATATGCAATTGAATAAATATTCTTGGTATTATTTCTTATGTTTTCGCTAAATTGTAAACATCCAGAATTTGCTCTGAAAAAGGTACTTTTATGAATCGTTATTAGTATAGCTTGAACTAGAATATGAATTTTAAAGTTGAATGAAAATAAATCACAAGAAAAAAAATTCTGCATTCTAGTATAGCAAAATAGAAATATTGAAATTACACTTGACGGTAGCCTACGCTGTAAAGGCAATGTCAAGAAATAAGCAAGAAAAGGTCAATACGAAATACATACAGTTTTATAAATAAATTCCATATTCAATTGAAACATACTGTTTTATAAATTAATTCCATATTTCAATTGAAACATACTGTTCTATAATAAATTCCATGTTCAATTGAAACATATTTTTATCTGTGGCATTCAGCTTTAACGTTCTGTGACTAAAAGCAATATTCAAATTACGAGTACACAACTTTTCCAACATCTCAAGAAACTCCGTCTATGCATGGTGGTACTCTGGCAATATCACAGTGAGTAATGAGAATAAGAGAGATCTTTTCACCAAATTTAAATTTGGTGAAAAGATTCCAAAGGATTAAGTCTTTCGAATAAGGTCTGAAAAGTATTTTTGGTGAAGTGAAACTAAAATAAACTGTATAAAGAGTGATAATAAACTGATGGACCTTGAGGTACACTGATGATATTATTAATTTTTGGACAATTTATCTCAACAATTTTGCTAATTGATCTCAATGTCATGTTGTAATGATAATACATTCGGGTATTTTCAAAATAAAAGTGCATGTAAGTATAATGAAAACTATTTCTAGGTTTAAAGTTCTTTGAAACTATACTTAAGGCACCACCCTTGGATTTTTTCAAGAGAAGTCACCAGACTCCTCATGAAAAAATCCAAAGAAGAAGTTTGTCTATGGGTTTTTCTTCAGCAAATTCAAAAACATATCTGCATCATAACATGGCATATAAAAATATGGGAAATGAACATCACTTCAATAGCTTCAATTTCTTATTAAAAAATCTTTCTAATATTCCTCAATATCGTCCCTAGTGAAAATCTAATTGTAATCTTGATCGAAGTTCTTACAGCAGACTATCATTTCACTTCGAACCAATGACTGGAATTCATCTCTCTCGAAAAGCAAAATATAGTTTCTCTGATCTTGAAAAGAAACATTGTTTATCGTCACGAGATGAAAATAATGAATCCACTATTATGTGAATTTTACTATTGAATATGAAATTCCATAACATTTGGAATAAATTATGTTACTGTGATCATTAGTGCATAATTAATCGGTTGATACATAATTCATACGATTTTCAGTTGATTGTTTTAATGTTATGAATTGCATAATATTCAATCGAAGCAAATATCATCTAGTTTCATTGAACTCTATAATTTGGGGATGGAAAAAATTATTCAATTATTTTTTGTAAAGAACTCATCAGTTTCTTCCTAAAGTTTTATCTTTTAAATTTTTCATTTTTCATAACAATTCGATAGAGATCAGAAAAAATGGAAATGAAAAATGCAAATGAAAAAATTTGTGAATACAAAGTTATGCTATTTTTTTGTATATACCTTCCAGTGTTGTTGTTTTATATAAGTTTTAAAGTTTACCTTAGTAATCTCAAATTCCAAATGTAAGAAGAAGTTCATTTAAATGAGATACAATAAAGGTTTTTCAGGTATTGCTCTTAGGAATTCGCGAACACAGCATCTAAGGACTCCTTGAAATACCTTCAGGCATTTTCAGACCACTTCAACTATTCTTATTGTATTTTGTTTTTCAATTGAGAAGGTTACCATGCATTATCTCCGAAATCAGCAATGAAAATTACCTCATAAATGCGACTCACCACTGTTCTGCCACTGTCACTCACTTCTCCTCAATAATACCCTGTTATAGACAAATTTCCAGTAAGTCCTACCCCAAATTACTCAATTTTTAACATTGTTTTGATCAAAAGTTTGGAAAATTTTCCACCATTCGCTACATAATAAAAATGAAGAATAAAGCATATAAGATATAAAAAATTGGTAAACATTGCAGTGAAATATTTTTCCTACAGACAAGAAATAGAATATTTTCCTAATTCGTTTCAAATCAGTCTGTTAATTATCATTATTTTAGTAATATTTCGAAATATCTTATACAATATTTTTATTTATATAAAGCATTTCAAGCATAATTATTGAGACTTTTTCCAATAAGTACTTGTGTATAAAACATATAATATACATACTCATAAGTTTCAAAAGTTTCAGCTAGAGTTATAAAATTAAAGTCAAAAATATTATCTCAGAATTCATTCGACACGGTAAATCAATCTTCAAATGAAATATTTTAATGAAAGTCTCATCTTATAATATATTCATTATTACGTTATTCCAAAATCACACATTTTCAACTAATAGAATTTCTGAATAATTAATTTTTCAGAATAGAATTTCATTTTTGCATTGAACTTCACAAAAGATGCACAAATTCATTTAGGCATCTCCATATCTTAATTTTCATTTATCATCTATAAATATAATACGTGAAAACGAACGTAACACAAAAATAACAGTTTTGAAATATACATTGGTAACAAATATTGCTATCCATCATTTTCAACTTCTATGATTTTGATTGAAAGGCATCTACGAATTTGGGGATAGTTTGAAGTTTATGAAAATTTATTGGCGCCATCTACTCAAGAATTCTTATACTAGCGCTTACAGGTATCATTAACTTCACTTAAAGGGACTAACTCGCACTATGTTTGAGTTTTACGTCTCTAGATGTCTACGTGAATGATAAAACACGAATGTTGGTGTTAATTCTGCTTCAAGTTACACACTAATGGTTTTCATAAATAAAAAATTGAGTAATAAATGCATTATACCGGATTTTAGTCGGTATTGTTATTTGTTTACGGATATGCTTATTTATATAGGTTTTTGTTGTATAAAATATTTATCCTAAAGCAGCAGTTATGATGTTTGTTTGTTACAGATGTGTTTTTGGTATAATGATTTTTACAGGTCCGTATTTATGCCCCGTATGTAATTCCAGGTTGTATGGTTCATATATTTAATTTCGTCTTCGTCTGCATTATGCCCTCTTTATTCAAGAGGCAATACAAGTTCAATTGAAGTTATGTTGCTTTTTCAATGTTTCTCCTTAATTCAATATTACTCCGATGCATTGGGCAGATCACTAAATATGAGGTATTATGCCAAATTATTTTGAGAATACACAAATGCTGACGCAAGGCAGATGTAGATAATGTATATATTTGATTGATCATCTAGCTAAATTATGCTGTTTTCCTGTGCTATACTTCTTCTTTTGTGATGCATGAGTGAATATTCCAAAAATATATCAATATCCGGTTAATACAAATCTTTTACATTTGCAAGTTATCAATTAGGAAGCAAGTATAGAATTTTCCTGTCATAAGAACCACAACGTTATGTTAGAGCACAGATAATCGGGTGTTTGCATTTCATCACAAATTAATTCAAAGATTGATATCAGCGATTTATGAAGTATCGTCAGTTTCATACTTCTATTCTACGTATTTATTTTTCTTGTTCAATAGTGTTGAAGATGGGGTTGTAGGTATTTTTGAAAATTGCAAATTTTTATTTCCTCGTGCACCAAGTATTACTAATGTCGTTTTCTGTATTCATTGAAACAGGCCTCACAGTATTATTATTATTATTAGATCAATGATTTTTGAGTACACGTGTGAATAGATTACTGGAAGAACATTGTCACAATTAAGGGCTGTTTGACATGACAAAATTATATCAATTACAACAATAATGCAACTTGAATTTCATGATATATTTCAAAATTTGCAAGTTTGTGAATTATATCCTGTTTTCTTACTGTTTCAGCTTTGAGTTATGTCAAGTTCCAGCACTTGAAGTAGCCTGTCAAAAGGTATAACAAAATTAATCCACAAAAATTATTTACTTCACTCAGTTGTATTTTTTCAATGGGTTAACGCCTCGAAATATAAGTCGGGTGAACAAAACAATTCTTGTAGGATTTGCATAGTGTTCCATTTTATTTTTCATATTATGGACTTGCTATGCTAATTGATTAAGCGTTTAAATGAATGCAATAAAAATTATGCGTTTTATGAATGTATTATACGCTTAATACTCTCTCTTCTGTTTCCACAATTCTTTATGAGTCCTATGCTACATATAGTAAAATTATTTCAACTAGTGTCTCAAGAAAACAACTAGGCGTTCAGTTATTATTTCTACTATGGAAATTGCATCAAGCTTCACTGGTTTGTTCAATACAAGAACATATTGTAAAACATAAACGAAACAAAAACTTCGATTTACTTATCGCTAACTGATTGATCTAATACCTCTCAACATCACCTGAAACTCTTAAAACACTTGCTTCAGTCCGAAAAAAATTCATCGAACGTATTCGGATATGTTTAGAACACTCAACCAAATATTAAGTGCTACCTCTAATCATGATTAATTCCGGTATCGTACATATCTGAGTTGTTAATTCTATGAAGTTAATTGATTTCATAATAAAACTGTACACGCAGCCTTCGTGGCTTAGTCGGGAGAACACACGACTGTGCTGCGGTAGGATTCGGGTTCGAGTCCCTTTGAAGGCATGAATGTATGTGTTTGTCTATGATTATAGTAGTTTAATGATGATAATTGTTGGTAATGTAGATAGATTACAAGCTTATTGGCCGTTCGTAGCCGTTATTCCACGTTATACAAGCAATTTTTCGGAAAAAGACCGATTGTTATGTGGTCCTAGTACATCATCCATAAGAAATATCTTGCATTAAAGTCAATGATCTCTGAACTGAACCAAGAACTAGAATTTGTTATTGGTCATTGGTGTAGTAAAATAGATAAATGCTCCTCCGCCAAAGCTTAGAATGTTCAAAAAACTATGATGGAGCTGATTATACGACCCTGACTTGCTATTATTACTTAATTTCACTTGTAAGTGTATAATTATATAATAATAATAATAATAATAATAATAATAATAATAATAATAATAATAATAATAATAATAATAATAATAATAATAATAATAATAATAATAATAATAATAATAATAATAATAATAATAATAATGATAATGATAATAAAAATAATAATAATAATAATAATAATAATAGGGTTTTATTGAAATATAGCGTCATTTCATAACAGCAAAAATGTATCAAAAATAAGACAAATGCATCAATTCTTAAAGAATCATGAAACAACGTAAAAACAATCTCAGGGTGGAATTCAGATGGTATACAACGATACATCTGTTCTGCCACTCAAACTCTGATAAAAAAAAATTTTTTCGAAAACAATTGATACATCCAAAAATGAGAAAAAAAAACTGAAAAAAACAAAGACATAACCGAATTAAACTGAAACAGTTCAGTTATAAAAAACTAAATATAACCATTCATTACCAGATAACAGATTACAGATTACTGTACAAAAAAAACAACGTATTTCAAATTGAGGTACAGTTGTCCCAGTGTGTTAAATAGTGTTATTGATCTTCAAAAATATAACAATTGACAAATTGAGGTACAGTTTTCTTAATATGTGAGAGAAATTCAAAAGTATAGAAGTATACAAATGGAGATAAAATTGTCGTAATACGTAATATAATGTTATTGATGTTCAAGAAGATACTCCCAAATTTTCTTTTAAATACAGAGGTAGTCAAAGCTTGGAAGGATGATGAAATACACTGATTATAATATCTGTAGATAGAATATGAAAAAGATCTCTCAAAGATGGCCAACCACTATGTGTTCGACATACTAAAATACATAAATGCATACATACGAAAATTGGCATTAATAAAAACAAAAACATCATGGAACCACAGAATACATTAGTGAACCAGATTTTCATCAATTTTATTCATTTTTGATCGATTAAACATAACAATATTAGTTCCAACATTGTGGCTTCATCAGATGTAGATGATAAACAGATGTAGATGATAATCACTTCATCATCTACATCTGATGAAGCTACTGTATTGGCAAAACAATATTGTTATGATTAAATAAATCACAGTGAAAACCAGAAAACTACCTACTTAATTTTATTTAAATTGAAAATTCAATGTATCGGCAACAACACGCAATTCTAAATCATTTGGAAAATATTGGGCCGTTTGAAAAAAAAACTGCAGTTGTGGTTAAAAAAAATTAATGAAGGTCAAAAAAGCATTGACGGTCAAGCTTGACCCTAATGGTATAAAAATGCAACATATAATGGGAACTGCTTGGGTCACAAGACCCCAATAATTGAATTATTGAGAAAAATGGAAATCGGTATTTTATTTACTGAGAATTTTCCGCACAGCAACTCATATTAATGATATTGATATGATAATTTCTTCGAGAAAAGAAAAAATTTATGAAAAGTCATCAGCAAACATTCTCAGTGTTCAAAAAACTATCGGTTCATATAATGTCAAGGCGCATGCACATAAACAAATTCAGTGTTCCCTTTTATGCATATTTATGACTATCCCAGAATAATAAGTTGACAATTAACAGTTAATAATAACGTGATATATGATTTGTTTAGGATACAAATCATTTGAAATGTAATACAATCATTTAAATTAATCTCTTGGTTCAATGTTTCACGAATTTATGGAAAAATAATACAGTAAAATTATAACGTTGAGTCAATATGTTTTGAGCGGTCAGCTCATTATCAAGAGGATACTACAAAAACATAATATAGCAAATTTACATGTATAAGATAGAGGTGAGAAGGGAGAATAGTTGAAATTATATTTTTTCTTTTTTTTTATTATTACTTGTTATTGTTAAAACTTTTTTGTTATTGTTAACAAACAAATAGAATTTCAACTATTCCCCTTCTCACCTCCATCTTATAATGGCCTAGAGGTCGGACAAGTTGTTTCAAATGAATAAATAATAAATCTACATGAATGTTGGGCAGCTGAAAAACAGATTATCATTAAAACTTCAGTTCGATCCATTTCGGTCATTAGCAGTTCAATTTTTAAAAATAAAATATGATTTTTCGAAGTTCAACTAACTTGGCAGTATCTCAATAATATCTTTCTTGAAAACACTTGATTCCTTATTAATAAACATTAGTTTTTCATCTTTATAGTGGTAGTACCTATTTGATTATTACTGGTAGTTATAGTGGTAGTACCTACCTCTTTAATTAATGTGAAAACAAAATCAATTATCTCCACAATTAGCTTAGTAAATTTATGTTACATATTTCCTAAATTGTACCTAAACGAATAATAAAAAATCAAGATTCATACAAATGATAAACATATACATACTATGCTATTTACATTATAAATGTTTCGAGCATTTCTGGTCAAATTAGTTTCATTACAAAACATCATATGAATTATACAAAATTTCAAAAACCATCATCTTCGTTTTAACGATATTTTCTTGTTCCGAAGACATCAGACAACCTGTATATAAATGATAAATATTTATTTTATAAGAACATGCATATCCTAGGTGAGTCTTACCTAAAGTTTGAAGAACTTAGGCCAACACATATTACAACAGTTAGTTGTCAATGCGTCATCTACCGTCATTTGAATGCATACAATAAAACTTGCAAATAATTGTTCCATTTTTCTTTATCCTTGTATATAAAATGTTTCAAAAGTTAGGGAAGTTGAGTTTTGATAAAATTTTTTATACCACTGGATCTATCAGAACTTGAAATTGAATAAATGTTATGTGGTCAGACAGCCACCGAAAGTTTGAGAAACTCTGGTCATGCGAGGAGCTGTGTTTCCGCATAATTCCTTCGTAACCTATAGATCTATTTTACGAATAAGAACAGGAAAAATCTTCTTTTGTGTCAGGTGCAATGCTCCACCGCGGTACCAGGAATCTTAGCCTTGGCCCCTTTCAATTATGCATTCCCAAACTTGTTTTCAAGAAATAGGGTCGGATGTCGACAAGTATTAACATATAAAAAACTAACCCTCTAGAGAAGTCGAGTGACCTTGACTACAGAAATTTCTCCACCAACTTGATTCAACTTTATTAGGTTTTTAATAGACATTTCAGAGTTATTTTATCCACTACTTTCAGAATTTGAATTAGGTACTAGTTGAAAATATTAATTTTATTCGAGTAAATAAGTAAATTAGATTAATTTTGTTTCGATGTAGGTACGGATATGTCGCGAATAAAACTGATAGAGTTTAATTCTTTTTTATTTAGTCAATTTACGTAAGTTTTATTCTCATATGACTTTGTTTCCATCAAGTATAGGTGTAATAAATAAGTGATAGGTATGTACTCTTTCGTACAAGCACAAAGTGCTTTTGAAAGAATAACTAGCATTCACGAGAATGCTTCGAAATGAAAATCTTAGCTCTAAATGTATGCTTGGTAATTTATTCCAATTCAGATTGGAAAATCATGTTATCGCCTCTTATCTTCTGAAATGGTTCCTAATATTTCCTCGTTTTGTTCGACAATCATCTAATGACTTCGAATCATGTTATACCTATATGTATAGGTATATAAATCACCTCATAAGAATCACCTGGCTTATGGTGAAGAAGGCTGAAACTTCCGAAACGAATGCTAAGCCCAAAATATTCCTCTAAACCCTAAAAATGAATATGTAAAAATACAAAAAAGCCAACTTGATTTTTTTCAAAAAAATAAGTTTGACGTTTTGATATCTATAGCAATTCATAAAATTCAATTATTCATTAGTTTTGACAAAGTTGTACAACGAAACCTCAACGAAAATAAAGTTTTTAATATTGAAATTAGCATGTTATTGCTAAAAACATTAAAAATTATATATACCTATATATATATATATATATATATATATATATATATATATATATATATATATATATATATATATATATATATATGAAAGGAAATTACTATTGTGTGTAACATGACAACTGGCAAAGTTTCGTTATCTATTCAGGAAATAACAAAACCATTGTTTCTTGAATATAATAGACAGAATTAGATACCGATAGTTACAATGAACATTGCTGGCACCGAATGGTTCTTTTTTTACGAAAGCTTTTTTAAAATTTTTTGTTATCTATTTGAGGAATCTATTCAAATATCCTTTCATTTTATGTTATTCCTCTATGAAGTCAATAACCCACACCACTTGAGTATTCGTTGAAATTACAATTGCAACAGAACATTAAAATTTTCTTTACTGTATTTTCTGAATACAGTGAGGAAAATACAGCCAGAAAACAGTGAAGGTATTGATTATACCAATAAATTCAACAAGAAAACAATGACAATTGATATAATTAAAAACAACAGAGTGGATATATATATATATATATATATATATATATATATATATATATATATATATTTATATATATATATATATATATATATAAATAGCCCAAAAATAACTAGAGGTTTGGATATTTTCAACACGACGATATAATTTTGATTCTTACGTAAGAAGATTATGGAACGGAGAGGTTTGAAAATTTGTCCCTGTTTCCTTTAAGGAGGACACTTTTTGATATAAACATCAAAATTTGTCATCGTTAACAAATTTATCTCTCTAAAAATGTTTCCCTTATTTGTTTTTAATTTTCATTTCA